CCAACTCCCCGTAGACTATAGTAAACTGATGCTACGCTTGAAATTACTGTAGGTTATAGTAAACTGATGTAACACTTGAAATTACTGTAGGTTATAGTAAACTGGTGTAACACTTGAAATTATTGTAGGTTATAGTAAACTGATGTAACACTTGAAATTATTGTAGGTTATAGTAAACTGATGTAACACTTGAAATTACTGTAGGTTATAGTAAACTGATGTAACACTTGAAATTACTGTAGGTTATAGTAAACTGGTGTAACACTTGAAATTATTGTAAGTTATAGTAAACTGATGTAACACTTGAAATTATTGTAGGTTATAGTAAACTGATCTAACACTTGAAATTACTGTAGGTTATAGTAAACTGGTGTAATTACATCAGTTTACTATAATCTCCAGTAATTTCAAGTGTTACATCAGTTTACTATAATATCCAGTAATTTCAAGTGTTACATCAGTTTACTATAACCTACAGTAATTTCAAGTGTTACATCAGTTTACTATAATCTGCAGTGATTTCAAGTGTTACACCAGTTTACTATGGTCGGCATAGTAAATTAAAGTGTTACATCAGTTCAATACGGTCTGTAATTATTCCAAGCGTAGCATCAGTTTACTAGAGTCTACGGTAATCTCAAGTGTTATATCAGTTTACTATAACCTACAGTAATTTCAAGTGTTACATCAGTTTACTATAATATCCAGTAATTTCAACTATTACATCAGTTTACTATAACCTACAGTAATTTCAAGTGTACTTGGAATAACCGCAGACCACAGAAAAATTAATTCCCATCTAAAATATTTATTTATTTTGTTAAGTATTTTCAATGGAGACTATTTCATTTAATAAATGTTTTATTTTGATACATAAGTTGTTCGAGTTTTTTCCTCTAAGAAAAGCGACATTAATTTCTTGACCACCTAATATATAGAAACAATTACACAGCAATTTAGTTTTGTGCCACAAAATGTGATGGTTTAGTGATTCGCAAAATCTAAGTTACCGCTTGTATCATTTTTCAAGAAGACAAAGCGAGTAATTATAGTCCTAAATGTTACAGTTTATCTCGTCTTTATGGCCTTCCTAAAGCCCACAAACCAAGCTCAGCATTTGAACTTACTGTTTTTTCTATTAGCTCCTCCACACAATCAGTTGCTGAGTATATTACTAAAATATTTTAGTGTTTGGATGGTAAGCATATGTAAAGTGGGACTTATTCTGTAGATTACAGTAATAGAACTAGAAATATGAAACATATTAAAATAAAAAGTGCCTGGTTCTTACATATTACAGATTTTACCATCACTTAAAGATCTGTTTTTGATAAATATGGTAGTTGCAAGATTTAGTATTCATGTGTAGGTTCAGTAGGTTCATAAGTCAGCACTAGTCAATCATAATATAAGTACAGATCATGACATTTTATGACATAAAACGTAATAGCTGTTCAACTGTTCCTATATTTAAAAAAAAAAACTTCAAAAGGTTTTTCGTTGTACAAACCTTGAAGATAGCTTTGATATACGGAAACATCTGTTAGCTGAGTTCTTGCACAGATCTTAAAATATAACGTTGATAAATGGAAACATCGGCACATGTAGATATGTAGATCTTGGAAGTCGAGTTGTTCAAAACTTGAAAATAGTTGGTTGAGATGTTGCAAAAGAAATATCTGCTGAAGCTTTTCGCCAGACACTAATCATAGCAACACCGTCTGTAAAATGATC